TAACTAATATTGTAGATCATACCGCTACTAACATCTATGCATTGTAGCAAGACCACCAGTGACTCAGTGGATAAAATCACTGAACACTGATACATTAGATATATATAAGTTATAATTCAAAATCAAATTTATAATAAAAGTTATAAAGTTAAAATTTCTAATCATATAAAAAATAATATATAATTATTAATACAGTGTTTCATTATTAGAAAATAATTTTTCGTGATAAAACATAATGTAGCGTTGTATGATTTTAAACTTATATATAAAATTATATAAATTTTTCATTATGTGTTATATAACTTCTATGTTTCAATTAAAAATGTATGTAATTTTTAATTGAAGCCGAGAAGTGGAATTCCTAGAAACTTTAAAACACTTTTCATATTTAACACATTTTATTAGAATAATTAAAAATGATAATCTTACATTCTGATGTGATAAATAATATACCTTCAATTAGCTTTAATATTATTTTTTAGCGAATGAATTTGTTGAAATGCCTTATTTCAATTAATAATTATATTCTATATCATTTTTACTGAACTTTTCCTTCCATATTTGTTACAATGATCTGTTGATTCTTTTTATAGTAATAATATATGCTTGAAGTGCAGCATAAGCTTGTATGGATCTTGCGCCACAAAACACCAAGAAATCAAATCATATAAGCTCAATAACAGAATAAATAATAAACAATTTTTATATTATATTTTTAAATCTTTGATGGTATTGTCTTTATTTCTGAACAATAATTACTTTAAATAGATTTTAAAAAATAAATTTTTAATTAATTAAAAAGTGAGTGAAAGAGCACTTTCTATTTACTTTGAAGAGTTTTTTTGTACTGCACAGTTCAATCTCAGATAAGAATTACCTAGGTTTTGATATAAAATTTCGAAGCATCTAAAGATATTTCATAATTTTATGAAACATACCAAAACACAGATTTAAAATCATTCTTTATTTCAATAAGAAATTCGAATTGGAGTTAGACTATTTGTAATTTATTAAACTTTTAAGTGAATCATGCTTTACGTATGCTAATCTATTATGTTGACAATCTGACTAATATAATAATAATGGAACATGAAAACAGCTTAGTGATCTTTTGCATTGTCAGCCAATCCCTATATTGTGCAATAAATATAAGCAACTTTATTATTAATTAAAATAACGTGTTATTGATGTGTGATTACGGAACAAACGGTATTTTATAATAAGGGTATCGAATTTTATTAACCTTATTACCTAGATTATCTCGTCGTAGGAATCAAGGAATAAGTATATACTGTTTTCATTCCGTCATGGGAAAAATTAATTATTTCAATATATCGTGAGATTCTGAATATAAATGATCATTTTCCAACAACTATTATTTCTATATATCGACGAATAACGTTTAGAAAAAAAATAATTCTATTATGAATCATTTCTAGTCATTTTGCGGTTACACTCTTTTAACCACAAAGTGCTTTATTTAGTATATAACAAGCTTCACAAACTAGATTTTGTGAATGCTTAAGCTTCATAAAAATTTACAAAGAACTTATAAATGTGACCACTTTGTTCGTTTATTTAGAATTGAGAATGATGAAAAACTTAATTATAGATTGGTTTTAATTGCTCTTTATGAAGACTGATTAATATAAAGGAGAAACTAAATATTGAAAATATCGTAAATGAACTCCATCTTGTTTTTTAATCGGTACCATATGTTATATTACCAAAACACATGATTTTTGTAACTCCGCATCAGCTAATTGTTATGTTGTAACATAAATTAACAAAGAAAGAATTTAAAACCGAAATAATGGGCACGTTTCCTTGGCAAGCAGCTAAGTAAGCAAACTAACATTGGCTTACTTGCTTGCCAAGGAAACGTGTCCTATACTTAACTCTAAAATAGGCTGTATCTAAGTTTGCTTGTGGAAGCTATGGCATTTGTCAAACAGCAAACGTCGACGGCCGGCTTGCTGATACGGTTAAAGTGTCAGCCTGCCGTCCTGGGAACTCGGAATTGTATTCGGGCAAGCGTAAACCACCCTGGAAAATTTTTTCGGGTTTTGGTTCGTTCCGGATATGTCGGGCCATGCCCTCGTCACTAGGGCATCCCCATTATGGGCTTGGTCGAACCCACAATAGGTATGGAAAATAGATTCTCTTGGTGCCTACGGGCTAAGTTAAAAAAAATAAAAAAAAGCAATTCTGTTGAACAAAATTACCAATATAACAGTTTTAAATTTACAACTCCTTTATCCATGCAGCTTTGAGTGATCTGACGTTTCATAGCTTGTAACGTCAATGGTTTCATCCAGTAACAAACACTTAGAAATTCCGTTTTGTTTTCGTTTTTGAGAGTTTCGTGAATGACATCCACGAAGGTTCCTCAAACAAAACTAAAAAGTAATGGAAACAATTTTTACTAAAAAATAAGTTTCCAACATGTTGTTTTGGCAGATCTTTCTGAAATAATGAGGAGCGACTGCAATCACCAACACATCCGGTCCTCCAACAGAAAAAAGAAAAAAGTACTTGCAGCATTAGAAACGCGAGTAGGAAAATTGCGACATTTACAAAACTTGAATTCTAAAAAATATAAAAAAAATTATTTTACTTATTACAAACGTTGTAATCAAGATTTAAACATTTCATCAACTGAAAAAAATCTTGATAGACATATAGAGACTGAAAGGTGAAAAATTATTACAAACAGTGCATTGGACACAGACTTTGATTTCCAAGCCTTCCACTTCAGCCGGGAAAAATTAAACGATAGTATAAAAGTGTGCAAGATAAAAACTAGCAACGTTTATTACCTCTCACTTGCTGGAACTTTTCAAATAAATTTCTTCGACTTTCAAATAGCAAAAAAATTTCCGTGGTAAAACTAAGATTGATTGCATTGTAAAAAAATAACTAGTGCGCAGGAAAACTTGTGCAACTACTTAGAAGACTTATGCTAACTGCAAAGAGAATATAAATTTTCAGTTATTTTGGACGAATCTACCGATCATACCGCTACTAACATCTATGCATTGTAGCAAGACCACCAGTGACTCAGTGGATAAAATCACTGAACACTGATACATTAGTTGGTCGTGATTCGCGTCTCGCCAACGTGCTGGACACGTAAAGTTTTCCGGATTTTCTTCACGTTAGTAACATGTAAATTAGGGACCAGTTTCCCATAATAAGACCTCACCCCTAAATGGTACCAAATCAAAAAAAATCAAACTACCGCTTTTGCGAGATTCAGTGGAAACAACGATTTGAATAATTGTGAGATGCTACATACAAGAAACATACTTAAAAGCAACATCTATTTAAAATGTGCAGTGTCAAAATCTTCAGCGTTTTCTGAAGTTAGAATAAATGTATTTTGGTGCAAGTGTAAATGTTTTATTGTCTGAGATATGCTTTCAAGAATCTGACGTAAAAAATGTTCACAAGGAAAAAACAAAAATATAAACATTAATGCCTCTAATTCTATATTGAAGCTGCACAGAAAGACTTCATGAAATGTTCATTTTAGGACCCATTTATTCTTATTCCAGAGGTGAAGCCATGCCAATTTCAACACTTGTTTCAAGAAATTCCCGAACATTGTTAAGCCCTATTAGTCCCTATGAAGATCCGCCCGAGATCATAGATACAGGCTTGTTATACTGTATAGAAAACTGACTTAGTTTAATATCTGTTTATTAACCTAACAGATTTATTTTAAATTACATTAAATTAATATTAACTTTGTATGCATTTCAGACTTCTATGTCCCTCTTCAGGCAAAATTTAAAACAAATCCGAAACGACCATGCCAGAATTACAACGAATACAATAAAATAGATTATATTATGATCGTCTCAATGTAGCCAAGTAACTACAGCATATACTTTAAGGCAAAATTTTCGAATACTGTAGTCGTTTTGAGGGCTAAAAGACAATTGTCATTGTGAGTCAACTAAACCAGTGTTCTGCAACCTTTTTCTTCTTGCGGCACATCTATGACTCAACACGGCACACCAAAATGTCATTTTCCTCAAAAACGTATGATATGATACTATTAATAAAATTACGTAATGCTACGAATCTACTATTATTATTATTAAACAGACCAACACCTGTGAGCAAATTTATTTTACATTTAATTTCCTAAAATACATAAAAATGCATTGCTTGTAATAAAGAATAAACAATCATCATCTTATTTCTTTAGTGCTGCGGCAGAGAATGAAATACAAGCATAAAAAACACAGCAACTGTGATAAAAATATAAAAATAAAATTTGAAATTAATAGAATATGTAAAAGTTTACGTCACATCTTCACCTTTGTGACGGCACACCGCTTGCGAAACACTGAACTAAACAACAAATGTTTTTGAGAGAGCGGTGGTTTCAAGACCTTCTAGGATAAAGAGAGTTTGTGCAGGAATTTTGGCTATTAGTAAAGAAGGAGCAAATGGTCAGCTGTTTAGACACCATGAGAATTTGTGGAAGTAATTTTTAATGCTTCCAAACTCCAGTACAACCGTTGAACAAATCTCAAAACTGAATTTAATGAAAACAATGCAAAGAAACAAATTATCTATTGATTTCTTGTGTTACTGCTGCTTACCTAGATAATTCATATTTTAACTTTAATGTCAAGCAAAAAGAGCTTTTATAATTGATTTAATACCGAAATCTATAATAAATAACATGTAAAGAAGAATGTAAACTATTCGCATAATTACTTTTGATTAAAATAACCATTTTAATCAAAAGTAATTATGCGAATTAAACGCATTAAAATTACATTGAAGAAATTAAATTCGTGTTCACATGTCTGTCACACTCACCAGGAGCAGTCTTTCCTTACAAAGACGACGTTTTATTACAGGCTACACCTTTAAAAACATGCAAATCAATTTAATGGGGTTCCCTAACAATAATGTCAAAAATTAAAAGCAAATAGTTTTGATTAAAATGGCTGACAATATTTCACACATTAAAATTATATTGAAGAAAAAAATCCCGGTGACTTTAAGTGACAATTCTTATATACTACAATATTTATTATATTTTTTAACTGCAGAATTTTAGTATTTTATTGTAAAATATATTTAATTTCTTAATTAAAAAGAAAATTTAAAAAAATCCACATGTTTCCTTAAGATTAAACCTATGGACTTCTAAATCTATTGTTTTTTCAAATGTTTTTGATGCATTGTAAATTCTAAGTTTTTCTTTAAGAAACTTGGCACACGAAATAGGTATGTAAAGTTAAAGAAGCGATTACATTTTCATTGCAAAAATTTAATTGGAATGCAATAGTAACTTAACGGTTACACTTCAGTACGTTGTAAAAACCTCCTCTTATGGTGATACAAGCCTAACGAGAGGTCTGGAAACCTGGCTGGCAATGAATAGATATGAACTCCACGAAGAAAATGTTTAGAGGTTCTTTCCATATAAGATCGAGCTAATAAATAGTCCTGGAAGGCGTGGCTCATAGGTAGTACAATTGTCTTTAGAATGTTATCAACGTACTGACATTGTGTCAGAATACCTTTTAGGGTAGTCTGCGTCGTAGGAAATGGCTGTCTAGACTGAACCCCTAGTGCCGCTCGACTACTGCAGCTGGATTGGAGCGATGATTACGCTTCCTCTATACGTGGATACGATGATCATCTGTGTCCAGAAATTTTTTAAAACTCTTTTCGTCCCGTGGACACTAAGATGGCCTCTTTTAGCAAGCCTATTATGGGTTCGGCCAGGCCCACAATGGGGCGGCCGGGTGGTGAGGGACGGGGCTCGACATATCCGGACGGACCACTCCCCGAAAAATTTCTGAGAATTTTTTGACTTGTCGGATTTGATTCCGGGACCTCACAATGGTAGGCTAAGCCTTGGCCGCTCTTGAGATATCGTCACAAACTAATTAACGTAATTAAAAAGCAAATCCCGTTAAATATGTCCATCAGTGCGAATGGCATTCTTTAAACGAAACCCAAAATGCTCTCCTCTGTCGCGCCCAGAAAACGTCCTCTTCGTTCATTGACAAAGAAGTTTTAATCATTTTCCTATCTGACCAAATAGCATTTCACACTCAGTTTCATGGCTCTCGCTATATTTGTTTTACGAGTGTTTCTTTCTTTCGTTTCTTTCTTTTAGTCGTTTCTTTTTTTGCAGAAGTATATGTAGTTTATTAATATAATATGATACATTTTATTTTTCATCCGATTATATACGCGATAACGAAAAAATTGTAAATAAAACTTTTGCTGTAGTTTATATTAAATTACTTTTGTTCTATTTCAATAAAACTTTGAAATATAATAAATATGCAAGTCTTTTTATCAAAAAGATTTATATTATTGTTTTTTCTCACAGATTTTCGTAATTACCAATTATTATACAGTATAAGGATTTTCTCTCTGTCTTAGTGGGCACTAGGAAGGCCTTTTATCAAGACTATCGGGAATTTGGTCAGGTCCATAATGGGATGACAGAGTGACGAAGAACGAACCACGAACCCACCGAAAAATTCACCGGGATATTTTGACGCGTTCAGATTCGTTCCTGGATTCCCCAGAACGGTAGGCCGACATCATAATCGTTCAACCATTTGACCACCGAACACAAGGCAAACTATAATAAAATAATATAGAGCAGGGGTGGCGAACCTATAGCACGCGTGCCCAAAGTGGCACGTAAGGAGAAATCATCTGGCACGTAATGCATCATACGATTTCTGTATTTTTCAATCATCTTTTCGGTTTATCACCCGATCATCCTTTTTTCAATCAGCGTTTTTACATTTATTCTAATTAAAGCGTATTCGTTTAATTTCTTTAAATATCGTTATTCGAAGTCTTAAACTTTGGCACGCATAAACATCTTTAAAGCTAAGTATGCTTACAATATGGCACGCGAACACAAAAAGGTTCGCCATCCCTGATATAGAATAATAAAAAGCTTTGACTGAACTCTTAGAACTAATTATTTTATTAAAATTAATCACATGTCATAACCAAAATATAAATTTTTGTTCTTAAATGGTTCTCCTTTATTTTATAAATTAATAATAAACTTATATATGTGGGCATACAAAATTCTGAATACTCTATATACAAATGTCTATAAAGGAAAATTTAATAAAGCTTTAAATAGTTAATTTAATAGTTATAAATACATAAAAAACAAATTAAATTTTGTACAAATTATAAGTAAATATTACTAAAATAAAAATGTATATTTATATTGATATAACAGAATATCATTTAATAAACTTTAAGTTTATAGGATATAAATGCGATGATATACAATATATCCAACTCTAGATGGAAGCACTTTTTCGCTCCGAACAATCGAATCTTTATGATAGCTGTCATGGAAGAGGAAAGATATTTTATTTTTTAAGTTAATTTGATTGCATAAATCATTTTAAAGGAAAATGCAACGAACAAATAATAAAGGGCAAACAAAATTAATTCGACAACAATCGCAATTTAAGGATAAAGGTAATAAAACTTCCCTTTTTTCAGCGCTGTGTGATGTAACTCGTTTTCGTGTTTTACTATACGAGAATTCCTCTATTAAAATAATTTTTTTAACATTCGTATTAAACTTTGTAAGAAATATTCAATGATTAAAAGTTAAAAATTGCACGTTTTCTAATAAACTTTTTAAAATTTATTATATGTTTTTTTAAATAAATAAATTTCGTTTGAATTAATAAATGATTATTACATTTCATAAATAGAAAACCGAAACTGAAACTTACACAATTATGACGTAATAACTGTTTATTTGTTACGATTTGTTTTTTAAATAAAAATGATTAAATTATATTATTTAAATTGAGTTAAATTATGCGAAAATTTAGTTAATTTTTATTATCAAACGCAAAGTTTTATTCAGAACTTTGTAAAATAAATTTGAGCCTTTTTTTTTTAATCGTTCAATTGGATTAATAAAAAATACTTCCAATAGTAATTGTAATACATTATAGAAATTTAATTTAGTAACGTAATTTTTATATGTTTTATAGATTTTTGTGAAGAGTTCTTATATTGAAATATGTAATTTATTTTTTTTTTGAATACAAAATGTTTAATATGTTTTTGTAGTTGCTAAAATGTAAATTTTAATTAATTTTAATTGGACTTATATTATCATGTTATATTGTATTTTTTGTTTCTGAATAATAATCTTTTATATTAAGGAATTTTCACAAAATACTCTGAATAGAGAATAGAAAAATGTTTTATAAGTAAATCAGATTTCTATCAACATGCTCATTATATTATCGAACAGTTTTGCTATTTGTATAGAATTATTAATGTAGCTTTAGTCTATAAATAATTACAATAAATAGGCAGTAGCATGGCTAGAAATTTTAGTCTCCTAGGCAAAATATGGTAAAGGACCTTCCAATGTTTAGGACTTAGCTTCTCATGTTTATGATGTTCTTAGTCCTTTGTCCTTTCAGAGAGCATGGTGATATTATGAATTGATGACTTTAATTGTATCCTTCTACTTTTTACGGTGTTGTGCTATCTGGATGGTCTCGTGTTGTATGTCCTGTAATCACCATTACAGTCAACCCCCATATAACACTGTTGATTTTTCCGTTTTATATGAATTCCATGTTGTATGAGTCACTTAGATTTTACAAATACATGAGCCATTCACAGCCCGGCACACATATTTGTAAAATCTAAGTGACTCGTACAACATGGAATTCATATACAGGTATACCTTGACTTATGTTGTTTCGAGTTACATCATTCCTGATTATACGTCGTTTGTCAAAAAAGTATATGGAAAAATAAAAATCAAGTGTAAGTCATTTTATTTGACTTTACATCTGTCCGCCACAAATATTGAAGTCATAATATCACTAGAAAAACATTTAAAGCACATAAAATCATATTAAAATATATACATTTACAAGTACAGTGGTGCCTCGTATAATGTATGCCTCGAATAACGGACGCTGCAAACAACGGACTTTCCGTTTGGCAGTTACGTGAGGTGAACAACGGACTTTCCGCGAACAAGTGCGAATGATGTTTCCACTCTTTTGCCGTTGCCAATGACAATCTGCTATTTTTATAATATATTCGTATTATTAGAATATATTATTAGTATATCTGAAGTACAGAGCTCCCATTGGGATTTGGCTTGCTCCCTTGTTTATTACGTACATCACCTCAGTGCAGGGTATTTACATTTATTCAAGTGTTGTGGAAATCTTGGTTTTTAAAAAAACAGAAAGGTGATTTCAATTGAAACAAAAGCAAGAAATCATCAGAAGGAGTGAAAGTTGACAAAAACTTCTTTGTCAAATGGGGAGATGTTCAACAGTTTACCAACACTCATTATCCAAACAAAGCTGAGGCCAGCAGGATCAATGATCTCTACAATGACACCCTTGTCCGTCATTTCTGACAGGTATTGAAGAAGAGAGAGAAACAGACCACCTTGGACATGTTTTTCAAGAAGCCAACTGCCAAAAAACAAAGGATGGAACAAGAGGAGTTGACCCTGCAAGCTCCGGTAGCCTCTCCTGAATCTGACTCCGACTAAAAAACAATAAAAAGAGATCTGCTGCAATGTGTAAAAAGTCTGTATCTGTATGAAGGTGTGAAGAAAGTGTTCCTCCTCCTCCTCCTCACAACATTTGACTACCCGGCATAATTGGTGATTGCTCCATTTTCATTTTTTTATGGTACAGTATGGTTATTTTATGCTGTGGAACGAATTATGTTTTAACATGTATTTCTATGGGATAATGCGTTTCGTATAACGGACTTTTCACTTAACGGACACGCACCTGGAATGGATTAAGTACGTAATACGAGGCACCACTGAATGTGCTGTATTTACAGTACATGCATTCGGAAATTTAGATTACTTTTTTCTGTACTATATTAAAAACTAAAATTTATTTGTTTGTAAGCTTAAAATAGATCCTTATTAACCATATATTATTAAAAATGCATTAATAAATAAAATGCAGAACCGGGAATGGTAATTTATGATTTAGCCTAGTGACAAGTAGATTTGGAGAGAAGTAAATTCGACTTACGTTGCCTCTCCTGGAACCAATTACTGAAGTAAGGCGAGGTATACCTGTAAAATGGAAAAATCAACAGTGTTATAGGGGGGTTGACTGTACTTGGTTTGCCCACCTATTCCGACACCTCATGATGCTATAGGAATCTAAAAAGTTGCCAAATTTAAAATTTTAAATTGTTTAAAAATATTGTAGGTAGGTATATTAAAAATTTCTTTTGTTGCAAGCAAGTTTAATATTGAACAAAAATAGGAAAACAATTCCAAAAGTAATCTGTGAAAAGATTTGTAAACAAAATAAAAATTATTAGTTGTAACAAAAAAGGAACATGGCTAAAAAGATACAAAATAACAAAAAACAATTGCATAAGTTTTATATTCAGTTTTTATATCCAGTATTTTGGTTAAATAATTGGATTAATGAGTAAATGATATAAATATGATATATGCTTTACATCCACCAAATAAAAATTTCAACTTTATTAGTTTTGTTAAATATATCTCATATAAGTGATGCCATTCGACAACAAATTCTTTATTGTCATATCATTAGCTAATTACAATAAGACCATGTTTTTTCAAAACTGTAGAATTTTGAAATAGTTATGCTTATCATTTTGCACAGTTGCAAAATGACAAGTATAATAAAAAAAAAACCTGTAAAAACTATTAAAAATTAATTTTAAATAAACATATTTATCTTTCCTAGTTGAATGAACAATAAAATATATAAATATTTTATACATGCATAAACATCTAGAAGCCTGATATTTTGTAATAAATCAAACGATTGCAGAGTTTTCAAGATACTAGTAGCCCAAAAAATCCAGCAATCATTTGGCTTATTATAAATATTTTTCTTATATACTGTACCTTAAGTTATGTGTCCTTAAGTGTCACTTAACCTCACTTAATAATGGATATGCTACTGCTTATGGGACATAATTAAAATATTTTAATAATTATGTCATTTTAATTTAAGCTTTGAGTCTTACTTTGTAATTGAATTAGTGCTATTCTATAACTGAACTTTTTAAATAATTTTATATTTATACAGTTTTGTGATATAACTTACCAATGATTTATTCCTGGCTACAGGAATAAATCATTGGGGTTACAAGGGCAAGCTGAAAAAATTCTGACTGGTATTTTATTCTTTTCCAGCCAGCACTAGGCCTATTAGCTACAGTCCAAATGTAAAAAAAAAATAACAGTAGCCTAAGTTTACATGATGAAAGCAAAAGCATATATTATATATATTGCATATGAGCACTGTTGACAAGCTGAGGGGCCTTAGCTACCTCTTAGCCCCCTCTATCTATGGCTCTGTATTTATATTATATTTATCTTCAGTAGTCATATTAGATGAACTTATTGAAAATAATAAAAAATATAGAGAATGAAGTAAATTCAAAATAAAATAGTTTTTAAATCTTACAAGGGAATTGGGTGTTGTTGGGGCATCGATTTTGATCAAGCTCTGTTAGAATATAGTGCATCCTCAAGATATGCTAAAGTGCGCTACTCAAAATTTAAATGAGAAAATTAAGGTTGAAAATTGCATAATTACTTAAAAGCTTCAGCATTTCTACAATTCAGTGTGACTGGTGGCTGTGAGGGTGTGCCAGTTTCATAGTCAAGAGGTTGGTGTTTTGAATCTCACTGGTATCAATGAATTCTTCTTAAAACTATTATTTTCACTTTATTCTTGGTATTTTTAAATTTAATGTCAGAAAGAAAAACATTTATTTTTAGAAAACTACAAATGTATAATAACAGGATAATAAAACAATAAAATGGACATGTTTCAAATAACATGTCAGCATCAAAAGCAATTAAGAAATGTCTCCTAACAATATTTATTTAAAAACAAAAACATTTTCTGTATATTCATGTAAACACTTAATTGTTTCAAAGTAATCAATATGTTGAGAGAAAATAAATCAATGTCTGTGATGAACTTATTCATATTGGGGAAGAAGACAAAGAAAGTCTCTTTGTAACATTTGTTGCTAAAGTGTATGACATCAGTATCCATGTTGGATGATCCAATATTTTCAAATATAATACAAATGCATGGTTCTCCTCCAAATTAGTTGATGACAAAGAAAAGTTTTAAATGTTAATCTAGTTTGTTTTTCCAGTGACATATGTAAATTTTGTTATTGTAAAAACACTATTTATTCAATATTCACATTGTAGAAATGTTTATTGTTTTGCATACTTCTATGATAATTATCAAGCACAAAGTTGTGCTCTCAAAGAGGAAACAAATTGAANGCCTCAACCTCTCTATTGTTTGCAGGGCTGTGGAGTCATGTAAAAATCTACTGACTCCAACTTCGACTTGTTATCGAACTTGTTATCGAAAGAGATTCCAACTTGTTATCGAAAGAGACCCGGAAATTCTGATGTCATCATGAGACCTCAGAATAAAATA